TCCTGGGAATCTATCTATGATTTTAGATATGAATCATTTTATTTTTTTTTTCTTGTTTAGTTGTATTTGGTTCTACCCTAATTCTGGAAGCCATCAAGCTCTGGTTCCTGGCCATCCTGGCAGTATCAGACATTGGCTTCCTCTCACAGCTTGGACTAAAAGATCAGTCATTGGTTGTTCACTTCACAAACTCTAAGCCACTTTTTCCCCAGTGAATCTTGCTAGCAGAACAAGTATAGTTCTCAGTTTAGTGACTGACTTTGTGTCCCAATCCCACCAATGGGAGCCGTATGTATTACAGAATAAGGCTGGTTCAGCCTCTGTATTCCTCACTACTAGGAATCTTCAATAGTGTCTTTCTTGTAGTTCTGGAAGTTTGCAGTGTACTCTTTCCATACCTCCTGCAAAAAGCTCCATTATTCCTATCATCTCTCCCTCCTATACGTCATCTCTGTCCCTTGCTTACTTGATCTTTCTTGTTCCCATCCCCACCTGCCTCCAGTGCACCCACAAAATCTATTCTATTCTGTCTTCCCAGAGAAATCCATGCATGTCCCCCAGAGCAGTTCTTGTTACTTAGCCTTTCTGCATCTATGGCTTGTACTGTGATTGACTGTGATTACTATGGTTGTACTTTACTTACCTGCTCATATCCACTTATAACTGAGTAAACCATTTTGATTTATGTGCTTCTGGGTTGCCTCACTCAGGGTAAAAAATAGTCATGCAACAACACAGCAACCAAATAATTCAGATACGGTGTGGTACACCTCTAAATGGAATTTTCAGTAGAGGAATCTAAAATAGATGAGACACATTTAAAATATGTTCAGTATCATTAGCCATCAGGAGATTTCATCATAAACCTGACAGAAAGGATAAGTTCAACAACACAAGTGACAGCTAAGGCTTCAAGGATGTGGAGCAAGGGGACTCATTGCTCTTGCGGTGCAAAATTGTAAAAATCCAGCCACTGTGAAAATCAATATGCAAAAATCCTCAGAATATTGAGAGTCAATCTACCCCATGACTCAGGTATCCCCCTCTTGCGCATATTCCCAAAACTCGCTCTTCCATCCCAGCACAAGGACATTTGCTCGACTCTGTTCATAATAGCCAGAAACTGCTGTGTCCGTGAGAGATGGTGTTGATTGATGATTGATGTAGGAAGCCCCTAAGAAGGTGGACCTGTGCTGGGATATGGAGCATTCTGAGCATGAGGTAGAGACTAGGCAAAAGAGAAAGGCTGTAAACAGTCTTTGCAAATGTGTTTTGCCTTCAATTGTTAGCGTGCAGTTTCTCCTACATTTCCAAAATGATTGAGTGTGATTTGACACAATCAATGAAATAATCCCATTTACTGCCTGAGATGCTTTCAGTTGGAGTATTTAATCACAGTAGCATAAAAGCAGGCAGCACAAACAATTACAACACAAAAGTTGATTTTGTTTGTCAGTAGAATATAGGAATGATGACTTTTGCCACAATGTGGAAGATATCAAGATTTTTATGTGACACAAAAAAGAAACATGAACATAATTAACTGTTCTTATAGGACCAGGAAAATTAAAATGTAATGGCAGAGAGTGGGTATTGAGATCATAGGATTTCAGTTGAAAATAAACTTGATAAAAAAAAAACCAATCCTGAGGACTTTTGTCTGATTTTTTTTCTTTTTGGTTTTTCAAGACAGGGTTTCCCAGTGAAACAGTCCTATTGTTCTGGAACTAGTTCTTGTAGACCAGGCTGGCCTCAAATTCAGAGGGATTCACCTGCTTCTGCCTCCCCAGTGCTGGGATTAAAGGCGTGTGTCATGACCATCCAGACTTTTGTGTGATATTTTGGCTCCACAATTTTTCTTCTTCTGCCCATGCACTAGAACTTTAGTAATGCCAAATTCAAAAGTAATGGGTTAATGTCTTAAATGGAATATTGAAGCTGTTCAATGGTTATCATTCATGACTCATTTAGGTGCACAGTAAAAAAATCCAAGTAGGGCAGAAATAAAAGAAAATAAAAAGATAGTTTCAAAGGGCATTTTGTGTTAAAGCAGGCAGGAATTTTCCAAGAGTTAATTATCATTAAAGAAAAGCCATTACTCTGCAGTGGAAGCTTATCAAGGTGCCCTAAGGGTAAGACTCCATACACTTAAACCTTCACTTTAGGGTAGCAATGTGACTCATAGTCTCAGGAAGCTACTTCATTCAAAACTGTCTGCACTTGTGGTCCAAGCTCGTTAGTGTTCTTTGCAATTAAGAGATCTAATTTCTCAGCATCACCAGTAATGTATTGGTCTTGGGAACATGAGAGAATCACAATTTAAGATCATGGATTTTTAGTTTATGGTTACAGTTTACCATTGTTGCAGGCATCTGTGTTTGGCAGAGTCAGAAGCCCAATGAGGAGACAGTGAGAGTTCATTGCACGAAGCTGTGAGGATCGAAGCTGGGTGTGGTGTGGTATCTTTTCCTCTCTTGTTCCTTTAGGGCCTGCCACCCAGTTCTCAATTAAATTTCACACATGGAGGCTTATTTTTTTTTCTTATAAATGCTTGACTTTGATTTGTTTCAAGGCATGTTGATTTAACTTAATTGTTCTCTCTACAATTTCCCCCTGGCCTTTATCTTTATTCTGTATTCCTCTCTTTGTTTCTTACTCCATGGCTTGCTGTGTAGTTGGATTAAAGGTTCCTGTTTTTTTCTCCTCCTGTTGCCTCTTCTTTCTGTTTTCCTCCCAGATTTCCCTTCCCATGTATTCTCTTTTCCTGGCAGCCCTGCTTGTCCTTTCTTGCCATGTGATTGGTCATTCAATCTTTTTTTTTACACCAACCAGGTATTTTAAATAGGCAAAGCATCAAAACTTCACAGAGCTAAACCAATGCAGCAATTCCTTGCATCATTAAAACAATTTTCCACAGCTTAAATAAATAAAACACACTTAAAAATGTTATTTCACAACATACTGGGTTACATTTTGAGCCCAAAGATGTTAAGATACCTAAGTTATGACACAACTTCCATGGAGACCTAGCTGCTTATAGTGAGTGGAAGTTACCAAAGAGAGAAATGCATGAGAAGTTGCAAGGACAGGGCCATTTAAGTCATTTGAAACTGAAGCCATACATCTGACAAGAGAGCTACAGGATTTGATGTTTATCCTGCTCTGCTTCAGTCTTGGTTCAAACTTCCCTTACTGTGTCTTTATTTTTCTCTTTTGGGATGTTAATGGTATTTTGTGCCACTGATGTTAGAAAGAGGTAATGTGTTTTCAGGTTTTATAAGATGTTGCTGTCAACAGATTGCCTTGAGTGCCAGAGGAGACATTACACATTTGGACAGTGTAGGGACCATTGCAGATGAGGATCATTAAATGTCTATCCTTGAAATGACTAACTGCAATTTTTCCATTGTTGACCTTGAGCCAATAGTGGCCGGGGTCAGAATATACTTGATTGAATGAACAACCTCCCAGAAAAGATCATGTATTTGAAAAAGTTTCTTTCCTTTGTGGCTTCCTTTCAATTTCCTGTGGATCTTTAGTAAGAGAAGCCTGTCTAGATGAAATTCCTCTTTGTATGTGATGAGTCTCAATAAACTCAACTAATTTCCTGATATTTGTATCTACTGTTTTGTGCTTGTCATTAATTAGACAATTTCCGTCTTATACTAAAATATTTTTGCCATGATTATAGGCTTGATTTCTATATTCTATATATTACCTATATTCTATAGGTTAAAATAAGATATAGCAGAAACAGTTGCTATTAAGGAGTTTGGCAACCTGCTACTTTAATTTTTTTCTTTGCTTGTTGAAGTAGCCCTTACTGTGTGGCTCCAAATTCCTGAAAGTAGAGAGGGGCATCATTTCTGGCTCTATACATTTTTATATTATTGGGTGATAGCCTTGTAATATAGGTTTTTTTATATGTCAACTATATGCTGCTGTGCAGTGCCTCATGCATATCTTGGATTTTAAAATTTGAAAGAGGGTTTCACTCTGATTCCCAGGATACCATGTATTTATGGCATTAACACTGCCTTAGAATTCTGAGTCAGTTATTGGAGGTGCATGAATTTCTTCTGGATGGTTATGCTTGATTTGATTTTTCTTAAATCAAATATGACTATTTTATATGTCTGCATGGATATTCATTACATGGGTATCTAGTCACCGAAGTGATCAAAAGATCTCAGAATTCCTGTTCATGGAACAAAGGAAAGTTGTGATCCCCATGTAAGTACTGGAAAATGTGCCCACCTCCATTCATGACCAGCAAGATCTCTGAATTCCTCTGCCTTTTCTCCAGCTCTCTGTTGATTATTTGTGACCAACATTTATATTTCTAGTGTTTTCATCTGTCCATTTTAACTGCTTTGGTTATTGGTATGACAGTTTAAATTATGGCACTTCAGATGTCTGGAAGATGAATACAGAACGGGAGTAAATGCAAAATTACTTGTAAGAACTTCAGTAACAACCTTTAAGTTATTTCTATCCCATTTGTTTTTTTGTTTCACTGTTTTTTGCAATGGAGACAATTTAATGTGTACTTCTACCTGTCCTGGACCTGATTGCTTATACTTGACTGGCATTCAACTCAGAGAGAAATATACCCACCTCTGTTTTCTGAGTGTTGTGGTTAAAAGCACAATACACCAATACACCCAGTGTGTCCATATTACTTTTTTTGTGTGGTCTGTAACTCTTTATGCAATTTTCTCATGCATACTATATACAGTTGATCTTTTTTTTTTTTCTGTTGATCTTTTTCAATACCTCTTCCTCTCAATAGATGTTGCTCTTATGGGGTGGTATCCCATACAAAGGGTACAGAAATGACAGAGTTCACTCTGCTTTTCAATTTTCCTCTAAAGTGACTGTCTAAGTCATGGAATAAGAGTGGGGAACACCAGAATCATATGACTATACTGTAAAAGAAGTATGTTTCTAACATTGTCACTGTCATGCTTTCCATTTTGAACATTTATGGTATATTTTAGGAGACAGTGACCTATGATGATGTGCATATCAACTTCACCCGGGAAGAGTGGAATTTGCTCAATCCTTCCCAGAAGAATCTCTATAAAGATGTAATGCTGGAAACCTACAAGAACCTCATTTCTATAGGTAAAAATGAATTTCCTTCATGTTTTAAAATATGGAAGCATCCGGGCAGTGGTGGTGCACGCCTTTAATCCCAGCACTCGGGAGGCAGAGGCAGGTGGATCTCTGTGAGTTTGAGACCAGCCTGGTCTACAAGAGCTAGTTCCAGGACAGGCTCCAAAACCACAGAGAAACCCTGTCTCAAAAAACCAAAAAATAAAAAATAAAATAAAATATGGAAGCAACTTTTCCTTGGTTAAGGATTTTGTTCTGCAATTTCATTTAGAAAAAGAATGAGGTGAATACAGCAGTCATAGTTCTTAGGTGCACTTAAGATAATAAGCTAAATCGTGCACATTGTTCAATGATATAACATATATTCTGGTCCTGTATTTTAGGATACATTGGGGAAGACCATTACACTGAAGAACATTGGCAATGTTCTAGAAGACATGCAAGGTAATTTTCATGTGCAAGTTGATAACAATGTGCCTCTGATGAGATCGCACTTTCTCCTAGAACTTTTAAACAAAAGCAGCAGTGCAAATAAGCACAGCTAAGTGCATAGATGGTTATTAAATCCTCACAAATCCATATACCTCCATTTCATGTATGTGAATTATTCTTCCTTTACTAGGTGTATCATACAGTACCCTTGATATAAGCTTATGAGCATAGGGATATGGAAAGATTTAACATACCTCTCCTTAAGAACAAAAAGAAGATAAGCAGTAGTTCCCATGTAGAGTATACTTGTTGAATTTCATTCAAGTATGCAATAATGAAGGTTTTCTACCATCATTATTAATATATAAACATTACAAAAATTCCCCATGAATTATAGGTCTGTGCAAATACTTCTGAATGTCCTAGTTCACTTAGCAAATATAATATGATTCAAGTATAGTAAAATTTATGAATGCAGTAAAGTTTTTAAAGCTCTCAGTTTAATCAGTTGTCTTCTAAAATATGAATAATAACATATAAAATGTTTTTGTAAATGTCAAAAGGTAAACCATGAAACAAAGGAATTTATCATAATACTTATTTTCCTAGATGCAAACTGAACCCTAATTAAAAAGAAAGCATGATTTTATACAGAGTTATAAAACCTTAATAACTAATTCCATTTTAGAATTGGAACAAGTTATAAAATTAATTCATACAAATACCAAGGTTCAGCAGTGTATTGAATGTAGCAAAGCTTTTAAATGTGCCAATTATCCTTGTAGGATTGAAGAAAATCAAAATGGAGAGAAGAAACTTTCAGTGTATACTCACGGTGTTAAAGTCTTGTCTTATGACACTGACCTGCTAAGGAATGAAACCCATATAATGGAGCAAAACCCTCTAAAAGTAAGCAATGCAGTAAAGCCTTTGCTTATCACAGTCATATTCAAGTGCTTAGAAAACACACTGGAAAAAAACCCTATGAATATCGTCAAGGTGATAAAGACTTTGTTCTTTATGAGACTCATCAAAGTCATAAAAGAACACATACGGGAGAGAAAGACTATGAATGCAATCAGGGTGGTAAGGCCTATGCATGTCAAACTGATTTTCAAAAGCATAAGAGAACAGATACTGGAGAGAAACCCTATGAATGCAATCAGTGTGGTAAGGCCTATGCATGTCAAACTGATCTTCAAAAGCAGAAGAAAACACATGCAGGAGAGAAACCCTATGAATGTAATCAGTGTGGTAAGGCCTTTGCTGAAAATGGTACTCTTCACAAGCATAAAAGAACACATACTGGAGAGAAACCCTATGAATGTAATCAGTGTGGTAAGGCCTTTGCAGATCAGAGTAATCTTCAAAAGCATAAAAGAATACATAGTGGAGAGAAACCCTATGAATGTAATCAGTGAGGTAAGGTCTTTGCTGACAACAGTAGTCTTCAAAAGCATAAAAGAATACATACTGGAGAAAAACCTCATAAATGTATCAGTGTGGTAAAGCCTTTGCACGACATACTCATCTTCATTTGCATAAAAGAACACATACTGGAGAGAAACCCTATGAATGTAATGAATGTGGTAAGGCCTTTGCGTATCAAAATAGTCTTCAATTGCATAAAAGAAAACTACTGGAGAGAAAGAAACTCTATGAATGTAATCAGTGTTGTAAGGCCATGCACATCACAGTAATCCTCAATTGCATAGAAGAACACATTCTAGAGAGAAATCCTATGATTGTAATATTTTTGGTAAGGCCGTTGCACAAAACAGCCATCTTCAAAAATACAAAACATCACAGACTAGATAGAACCCCTATGAATGTAGTCAGTGTGATTAGGCCTTTGGAGACCACTGTACTCTTCAAGGTAATAAAAGAACACACAGTAGAGGAAAACGTTATGAATGTATAGTAGTGTGAGAAAGCCTATTCACATCTTATCTTCAAATGCATAAAAGAACACAGACAGGGGAGATAACTGTGAATGGAGTCTGTGGTAAATCCTTTGTCACAACCATCTCCAAATGCATAAAATAAACCATCTTGCAGAAAACTATGAACTCAGTGTGTGTATTCTTCAAAAATATGAGAAAACTCATACTATAGTGAAACTCTAAGTGAATTTAGTGTTTTAATGTTTTGTACTTCATACAGGAGTAAGACTTTTGTGTGTAATCAATCTGAGAAAGCTTATGCATATTACCCTAATCATTTGGACCTGTGGAAGAAACGGAGGGCTTTTTATAACTTATTTTTTAAAGATCTTAAGCCCACACACATAGTCAGTTAGCCAATAGCAGTTATTGTGTAGATAAAAATGGATAGTGTAAAAATCTGTTCAAGCACTATGATATCTCTTTATTTTGTTTGAACCAGCAAACTAATGGCCAAAACCTTTTTTTGAAGCCTTTTGGGTAAGAGAAATGGCTAGTCAAAGAAATACACCTTGGACCTGAAAGCAGAGCCAAAGGAAAGCATTTTTTCTCTGAATCTCGAACTAGTTAAAGAAACATCATCTCCCTGAAAACAGCCCAAACATTAAAATGTGCCAGTGAAAGAAACACACTCTCAAAACACAACTGTCAAGTTGGGAGCGTAGACCCCAGTTCCTCGCATCTATCCCAGCCCCCAGGCCTGGTCTGGACACTAATTCCCAGCTGGCCAGGTCCTGACCCCACCCCCAGGGATGGGTCAGGACCACTCTGCAGAGTCTTTAAGTGATTCCCCAAAAGAGGAACACGTGGTCTCCCTCTCTTCCTCCTGGGGGTATCATTTCTGCGGCTTCCTGGTTCCCGCTCAGGGCCCCCTGAGAGCACAGATCGCCCATTAAACCTGGATATTAATTTGGCTTGTTTTGATTTGGCTTGATTGGGAATTTTGCGTCGGCAGGGAGCTAGTAGTAAGAAATATTCCTAGGGGCTGGAGAGATGGCTCAGTGGTTAAGAGCATTGCCTGCTCTTCCAAAGGTCCTGAGTTCAATTCCTGGCAATCACTTGGAGGCTCACAACCACCTGTAATGAGGTCTGGTGCCCTCTTCTGGCCTGCAGGCATACACACAGACAATTGTGTACATAATAAAGTAAATAAATACATTTTTTAAAAAATGAATATTCCTAACATTTTGGAGGTTCCCGCCAAGCTAGGCCAGGCCCTTTCCACTTCGCAGGCCATGTGTTGGAAGGCCCCTACTCTATAGTTTGAGCTCTCTACACCACGCTGACAAATGGCTTCTGGGCCACAGCGGCGTCTTGATGAGTCCCTTTTCTTATCGATGCTATAGAGTTCTAGGGGACCCATTCATACTTATTTTTGTCGTTTTCGGATTCCCGCTGAAGTCATGAACTCACACCGGGAAGTCAAGTCAGGTGGCAGTCAATCCCGTGGGATCAGGCTTGGCTGAGTTGGAGATCTGTCTGTCCTGGGACACCAGGCATCCAATATACAGTTGAGGACATGCTAAAATGGACTTAGGCCTCATGGTTGGGCATAGACTAAAATGGACACTTAGAGTTCAAAGCCAGGTCTGTTGTTGCCCCTATGAGCCTCTTACAAAGATCTTTTTAAATTGAGCTTGTCTGATACAAATAAACAGAGCTTACATATATATGTCCATGATTTTTGGCCTCTGCACTCTTGCCCCCCCTCCCCCACTTAGTAGCCAGTGTCTCTCAGCACCACAGTGCCAGAGGCACTGGCCCCTCTCCAACTCCCTGAAACCCACACTTCCCAACCCCTCCCATGGAGCAACATTCTTTCCCCCTCCCTTTCCCAATTCAGAGGTTCAAGGTCAATTTCAACCTTCCCCTCCCCCCCCCACCTCTCTGCACTCCTGGATCCCTTATGCACACTGGGCTAGTCCCTCCCCTGTTCCCTTTTCTCTTCCAAATCTATCAGGTAGAAAAGTAGCTGCTTGGGCTGGAGAGATGGCTCAGTGGTTAAGAGCATTGCCTGCTCTTCCAAAGGTCCTGAGTTCAATTCCCAGCAACCACATGGTCGCTCACAACCATCTGAAATGAGATTTGATGCCCTCTTCTGGCCTGCAGGCAGACACACAGAATATTGTATACATAATAAATAAATAAATAAATATTTAAAAAAAAAGAAAAGTAGCTGCTTTCCTTTTCTACTAATAATTCTGCTTCCTCAGTCAGAACCAGATATTAGGGGAAAAAAGTTGAGGATGGTCCCCAAACTCCTATATGGGAATTAGTGAAAATGGCCTTTAAAGTTTTTAATGCCTGAGAAGAATCAGCTGAGTCTTCCCGACAGACAAAGCTACAACAATCTACAGGCCCAGGCCTTAGCAACTGCCCTATGGTCACAGGAAGGGGGATAAGGGAAAAATAGCTGCCTACCAATAAAAATTGAAGAATCCAGTAGATTGCTTCTCAGCCTTTTCCCAAAGATCAAGTGAAGAATCTCGTAGTTGTTGATGTCTTCTACAGGCAAGAATTTTTTTCTCATTTCTTCTGTCTTGGCTGTTGAAATGGCTATTATTGGTAGTCAAACGGACTTCCTCTGGAATTAACTAGTAGACAAAGAATTAATTATACCCGAGAGGGATTTTACTTAAATGTTTTTAAATGGGAAAATCCTCCATTAATCTGCATAGTCTGAGATAATAGGATACACCTTTAGCTGCTTGGTGGCCATGCACACCGTTAACACTGTGACTCAAGAGCCAGAGGCACTGGGATTTTCTGAATTTGAGACCTGTCTGGCCTACCGAATGATTTCCACACCTGCACAGAAAAATCCTGTCTTGAAATCACCAAAACAAGAAAATCTGAATCGAACAAGACTATGATCTAGCTTTAACCTTCTCACCTTCTGGTAGCAGCAGTTACATAGAAAGTATATTGAAGTAGAAAAGTCTCTTTTTTATCACCTTGCTCTGGCGACCAAACTCATTCCTTTACTAGTACTAGAGACTACTTCTTTGAAATTTTGGTGAATACTTAAAACCAGCTGAGGCATCAAGCCTCGTGGGCTGAAAAACCACTGTGTTCTTCACTTCATCTTTGGGAAAAGGCTGAGAAGCAATCTACTGAATTCTTTAATTGTCATTAATAAGTACCTATTTTTAGACAACCTGAAACACAGCTTGTGAGACATTCTAATAAGCCCACTTTTTACGTACATGGTGAGATTCATTCTACCTCTCCTGTTCATGTGGAGAATCTTGAATGCTGCAGTTGAATATTTTATTCACCTGACCATGGAGGAAGATGTGCTGGCAGACAATAGTGCTCATGAAGACATTCTCTACATATTCACATTTCCATGAACACTACCCTTTTTATTATTATTCATTTTCCTGGAGTTTGCTTCAAATTTCAGTAATAAAACCATCATCCAGCCTTCTGATGGGGAAAAGACCTATCATCTTGTTTGAGATCTGGTTCCTGCTTTTCACTTTTCTGTTGTGTGAAATATCTGTGAAAACCATGTAAAAAGTACCTTCAGTTCATCTGACCTCAGCGTGAAGCCACAGCATAAACATCTACTTTTATGACCTTAAAACTCTTTTTAGTTGTTAATATTCTGGGCATTCTTTCTCCTGTGGGACAGGAAATCCCTGCAGCCACCTAGCACAGTGCACTGTACAAGCTAGCTAGCCACAGTGTGTCCTGGAGGAAAAAGGGAAAGTTCCTATGGAGTGCAAGATTATGACAGTGTCTACTTTTGGAGCCAGGGAAAGTAATATTGAAATGCATACCTTGGTTAGTCTAGAAAAGATGTTTGACTGGGGTGGAAGAAATGACCAGAAACCTCTGTGCTGTGTCTTTAAAGCACACTACAGCTCTGTGGGAGGTGTTCTTGTCACTCAGACCTCACTAGCCAATCAGGCCCTTTGGGTGACCTGCCAGTCAGGAGTAGTGCCTGGTTTTTCAGGACGTCCCATTCAGAACGGACTTTGCAGAGGACCTGGCGCCAGTGGCTTCTGTGCTGCGGTGAAGTTGCTGTTGCAGGGAAATGATGAACTGAGAGCTTTGGCAATCTGGAAAACCACAACATGGTGAGCGGGGGAAATGCTGTCTCCTGAAGGGGAGGAGCAGAGGGTGAGGGGCGGGAGACAGCATGCTGCGCTCTCCCGGGATCCGTGTGGGAACCTGCCGCCAGATTCGCTGTGTTGTGAAGTCCCATGCGGTCCTGTTAATTTCTAAATCTAGGGACAGAACTCTGAATAACTTGCGCTTTGGGCTTAATCGGCTTAGAGAATTGGGAGCAGGGCGCTGTGTGTAAAAACATCTTTCTTGTCAATTTCAGTATGCCAAACTCGGAGAAGCCTAATTTCTCCAGTATTTTCTCAATATGGACCACTTTGCCTTTAACCTTTACATACAATCTCCATTTGTATTTAACTATGTGGACGGTGTCAAGGCCTGTTGCCTGGGCAAGGAGCCTCCGC